ATGAAGCCACATGGTTGCAGAGTTGTGGGTTTTAAAGATACACACAGACACAAGTAACAGCATGTGGGGTACAACATAAGTGTTCTCAATCATGGTGCATTGCAGGGGGCAGTCAGGTAGTCCCCCACCCACCAGGGTTGCTTCTGGGTGGGTCCATTGGAGTCCTCATACTGGCACCCATCTGTGATGTGTTCCATGTAAATGTCCCTGGGCCATCTAATGGTGTTGAACATTATGGGGCATCTCATCACAGGATAATCAGCAGGTGTACCAGACTCTCTCATTACTGGGGTCCCATACTCCAAGTGCCCCAAAGATCCACACCTCAACCATCACCTCATCCCCCCACCTCCTCAGCACATCTGCCAGTGGCTGGTACTTAGCTTCCACTTACAGGCTTCAATGAAGGCTTGCCCCCAGTTCTCAAACAGGATAGTGACATCAACCATCACAACGTGCCTATTCTCCTCATCAGCCACGATGATGTCTTGTCACAGCTGGCTCTTGCAGCCTGAGACAATGCAATTGACAGGCCTGGTCCCAACTGAGGCCAGAATGGCCTTCAGCAGCAGGTCCTGGACAGTGTTGTAGCAAAGCTTCCATACTCTGGCATAGGGCTTGCAGGCACACAGCATGTGCGGAAGAGTCTCCAATTCACAGATGTATTATGAATCCTTGTCAAAACCTCTTGTCATGGTTCCCATACCGAATGGCACTGTCAGTTGAGTTGGGAGCCGTGGATGAAATGCCAGTCTGCAAGATGTGTCAAGCTCCCACCAGGCATGAAGTGGTTGCTCACATCCCACTCTGAAGTACAGAATCTATTTATTGAAGGTCTGCCTTGAATTCGTCCCCCAACTGCTACAGTAGGGGAAATTAATCTGGAGGGTCAGGTAGCCACTTCTGTCTTCTGCTTTCCCCCACCCCACCCCACAACTTTTCCTCTGACAACCTCTTCCACCTCTTCTTACTGTCAGACCGTGCTCTCCCTTACCCTGCCTTCAGGATTTTGACTGCAGCTCTCCGGAGTACTTTGCTCTGACAGCATCCTTTAGGAACCTCTGCAGGCAGGTCCTCAGGTGAGGAAGGTCACAGTGATGTGGCTGGTATTGAAGACTGGGAGTAGCAAGATTCCCAACTCCCAGCACTCCTTGAACCACGTCCAGGAACAGTAGATGCACTTCCTGAGGCCGCGTGTGATATTGTGGACCCAGCTACACCACAAGGCATCTCAGCTCCATCTTAGCTGAACTTGCCCTCCAGCAGGCCACTCAGGAAGGTAGGCGGCTAGGTCTCTGCCAGTGGGCTGCCTGACAATTCTCCTACAAGCCACCTCCCTCAGGGGACTGGCAGAAGTGCTGCTCAGCAACTTGTCAGGTCAGGTCAGGTCAGGAGGCGAGGGTGACCACCATGATGTCACAGACATCACCCATGCAGGGGATGTTGGCACCTCTCTGCCAGTAGAGATGTATGAAATCTCATTGCTGACCCAGAGCAGCAGGTACAGCCACTTCTTCAGCAACCCTTCAGTGCTCATCATCCACCTTCTTGAGGCTCCTTCTTGCACTACAGCCATCCCACTGTCAGCGGGTGAGATGCACAACATCCCAATCTGGACTGGTGTCAAGCAGGGCTTCCTACTCAGCCCCATAATCCACCTGGCAATGGAAGTGCTCCTCCAAGTGGTAGTGGAAGGCCCTGGAGAGCTCAGCCTCTGCAGACAGAAGCTGAGCATTCTGGCCTGCACCAATGACCTTGTCCTTGACAGTGACTCCAAACAGCTGCAGAAGATGCTGGACATCAGCTCTGAGGCAGCCAAGTGGATGGGGTTACGTGTTTCCAACTGCGCCTTCCTGCATGTCGACTGTAGGAAGAATAGCACTGTCCTGGACTCCACTGTCACCAACCAGGACAAGCAGATGAGGTGCCTGAAGGATGGCAAGAGTGACCTCTACTTGGGAATGCCCACTGATCACTGGGCAAAGCAGATACCAAAGGAAGCCATCTGTGGGATAATGCAGGATGTCCATAAACTGGATTAATCCCTGCTGGCCCCCTCGTTAGTCTGAAGAGGCTCAATGGTCCCTTCCATCGAGCCTCTTAAGACAAAGGCAATGTGGGGGATGAGGAAAGTGTTCACCTATCAATCTTCTACCAGGGGGCCAGCAGGGACTAATCCAGCTTATGGACATCCTGCATGATCCCTCAGATGGCTTCCTCTAGCATCTGCTTCACCCAGCGATCAGTGGGCATTCCTAAATAGAGGTCGCTCTCCCCATCCCTCAGGCACCTCATCTACGTGTCCTGGACTCCACTGTCACCATCCAGGACAGTGCTTTTCTTCCTACAGTCAACATGCAGGAAGGCACAGTTGGAAACATATAGCCCCATCCACTTGGCTGGCTTGTTGACCAAGGCTTCAAAGATCTGGAAGGTTTCAGCCTTGGAGAGCTCCTCCATCCAGATGGCTCCTTCATCCTATATGGCCTTAATTGATACCTTAGCCTATGCTGTATTAAATTCAAATTTAATTTTAAGCTGGCTTTGTTTTATAAATAAATCAAATAAAATAATCTTATTTAAATAAAAAAATTCTAGTTTTTTATTTTTAAATCTTCGATTTTATGAACTTGAGATAAATCATTTTAACTTTAGCATGAGTCAGTCAATACCATAAGTCCTGAAGATCCCAATAAGAGACAGGCAAGAGCCAATCATGCAACTCACAGGGAAATAAACCCTACATGAAGAGCCAGAACTTCGATTGAAGATCAGATAGCCTATAACTGCACCATGAACAGAGGACTTGGGAGTCTCATTTCTTGAGGAACACTTAACTATACACGTGATGGGCCATGGAGATTTCCTCAATTTTTAAACTGGAAAAGGATCAAGAAGGTATTTCCATTTCTATAGGCAAAAAGTTTAGCTATTTCCCAATTCCCATGCATCTCTTTGACCCTCACTTCTTCCACTGCTCCCTGCTCCCGCACATTCAACAGCATTATGTCTGGGATGCTCAGGTCTCTCATTATGACCAGATCATGTAGTCCTCTCTTTACTGGGAGTGGATGGGATTCCATCTCAGCTTATATTCAAATCTAAATGAGCACCTTCAGCTTTCTTTGCTCTTGACAAACCAACTTAAGAAAACTCCATGGAGAAAGATACTAAAGTTGTTTATAGACCATACAAAAACAGCTGTTCATCTACCACACAAACTTAGCGTCCTCTCGGAGGAAGTGCTGCCACTGTTAGCAGAACAGCTATACACAACAGTCCAGGTTCAGAAGTGAAGAAAAACAACTTCATGAAGAAAGAGCATTTTTCTTCTACTGAAACACCTGAATGAGGTCCAGCATGCCTTCTATGTACTGTGTATTAACAGTGATGAGATCATCATTAACCTGCATGGGGCTGGTAATAGTATAGGTTTAGTTCCGAGTGTATAACATGACACAAAAATCTGTATCTTTGACACATCCAGTTGCTTAAGGTGAGAGGCAGGATTGCTTCAAGCATCGGTTAGAGGTTTTCTAAAACAGGTTTTTAAATCCAGACCATTGATTTGCACTTTAGGACTTCATAGTCCAATTAGGATGATTAACCTGTTGAGATTTCAAGTTTTAAACAGGGACAATTAAAGCTAAAAGCACACAAGAAATCTAGTTAAAAACTTGACAGCAATGAAATACAGTTCAGTTTTGAAATTTAATATACTGCATCAAGTTCATCATTGCACTAGGAGCGCAATCAGAAAATGACATTTTTTGCTCAATCTGGCCACAGAAAGCGATCTATAGCTGTGATCAAACACAAGTGCACAGCTGCAGACCACTTCAAAAATGGCCCATCAGGTGAAAATCTGAACCCTCATGGTTTCAAAACAGAGTGTCTTCTGTAACTTTTGTCTGCATTGCCTCCTAGCCTGTTGCTGTTTTCAGAATGGGAGGGGGGAAGGGAGTGGAGGGAGTTCAGTCTGGGGGGTTTTCAGCCCTCGCCAGAGGGTGGGACAGGTGTACTGGATTCACCCACCCCACCACCCTCCAGTGCCACCTGGGGAACCTCTAGAACAGCTTCCTCTGCTCCCTTCCCCACTCCCATTTTGAAAACAGCACAGGCTGGCAGGAAGGAAGGGTCACTGGCTAGGGGAAGACATATGCAGGTGGCAGCCAGTAGCTAGATTCCCCTCCCCACAGGAACCAACAGTGAACTTCTGCTTGGTTGGGGGATCATGTCAACTCAGAACACTTCTTGCAAAGCACTCTCAGTTACAGCAGGGAGTTGCACTCGTGTCTGTGCCCCAAGTTAGCTAGCACTTGCAGATTTTGGTTTGCAGTCAAGGTCTTGTTTACTGTACAAACCAATGGTAAGTAACCATCAACACTGCTGTTTTTTCCGTGTGCAGTTAACACCTGAAAGACATCAGTATAGTAAATTAAGTCAGCTCTTCACATAGTTCTCCCCCTTCACCTCTTTCACTACAGATGAAGTTGGTAACAGATTGGAAATTCATTTCCGGTAGCCATGAGCAGAATACAAGCTTACTATTTCAGAACATGCTCTACTTTTAGAGTCTGGATATTACCAAGTGCTGAACTATAGATAAGAACTATAGTCAACCAGCTGTGAACTGCTGTCCAGAGGGTTTTTCCATCTATTTACTCCTCTGTGAAATCCTATGAAATATGAACTTTCATTTCTACCCAGAACTTTTATAGTCTTTTCTCTGATGCCTGATGAAGGGTATTTGTGCCCGAAAGCTTGCAATTAAAGAATTTTTTTTGCAAAAATCTTGTTAGTCTAATAAAAGATATCACCTCTGTCCATGAGCCCTGATTGTTTTCAACTATAGTTAAGAGAGTTGTCACTATATTTGGTTTAAAGATGCCTGGACTGATTTTCAAAGGTGCCAGGAATCTGCAGTTCCCAATGAAGGTAATGGGAGCTGAGGCTCTACACCAGGGGCAGGCAATTATTTTGGGCAGAGGGTTGCTTACCCAGTTTTGGCAGGCTGTTGAGGGCTGCATTGGTAGCCCCGCCCCTTGACAGGTGCCCTGCCCCCTGGTCACCATCTTGGGACCAATGTCCCAGGGCCAACACCGGTGGGCCTCAAAGCAGGGCACAAGCTGGCAGAGGTCTGTGGATGAGAAGACAATGTATCGGTACACCTCTAACATTAAATCAGTTTATGTGTAATGTCTGTCCCTAGCCTCCAAGTTCAATGGACTGGGGGGCCTTGGATGAGAAGACAGAGGCTAGGAAGACACCCTCTGCTCTCCCATCCTCACCTGGCCTGAAGACAGAAAGTTTCTTCAAGTTGCAGACCACGCTAATGTGATCTAGCTTTTGTAATCTCGGGATTAGATACCTTCACTGAAGCTCATCTTGTACACAATGCCTCTCTTTGACACCACAACAGGTAGTCCTGAGAGCACTGCTACCACACTGTAACAGGGCCCCTACCCCATTACAGAGAATGGGGAGCAAACCCCAGGGCCTGCTGGCCAGACAAACCCCCAGGTGCAGACTTAAGGGTGGAAAAGACTCAAGCAAACACTTACCACAGAACCAGCAGTGACAGCAACATCAGGAGTCAGGGGCTTGCACAGAAGCCCTGCAGGTTCCTTGAGGCTGCCCCAAGCAGCCAAATCAGAAACACCTGCAGCAGCTCTGGAAAGCAGGTAATCAGCAGGGGAGCCATACAAACACAGGCCCTGAGCCACACAGGGGCAGTCTGGGCCTGCAAACTGCAGGGGAAAGAGTTCCTGGCTAGGAAAGCTGCAATGGAGTGCCTGATGAACCACTGAGCTGCCTGGGAACTACAAGCAAGACCCGGAGAGCCTACAAGAGGACATAACCCAGAGCTGGGGTTATGTTGGTACCCAAGGAAGGCTGCCCTGGGTGTTTACTCACCTACTCTGATGGGGGTGGCTGTTAGACCTTAAACTCCAGGAAGCCTGATTTAGACTAGACATAAGAAAAAAGCTCTTTACAGTGCGAGTGTCCAGGGTCTGGAACAAACTCCCCGCAGAGGTGGGGCAAGCACATACTCTGGACTCTTCCAAAAAACAGGTGGATGTATTTCTTGCTGGCATCACTTGATCCCAGCTGATTTCCTACCTATGGCAGGAGAGGGGCTGGACTCAATCTCATGAGGTCCCTTCCAGCCCCCATTGTCTATGAAATCTATGAAAAATCCAGTCTCTCTTTCCCCCCCTCATCAGTCAGCACGTAGAATTACAGATTTGGGGGTTTTTTTCTCCTTCTCTCTTCTCTTCCTAAATTTATTTGGTGCATCAAAATGAAAGATTCAAGATGAATAAAATAAAATTACCCTGAGCTTGAGGAAATAGCACCTGTCTTCATGACTCGTCTCAGAAAGAGAAAAATGTAATTTTTTTTAACCACACTGACCATAACATGCAATAACTTCCAGCTGTCTTTTCTGTGATGAGTCCCCCAAACTTGAGTGACAAGCCTGCTCAAAACATGCTTGGTTCTAGAGTTGTCAGACGCATGTCATTTAATACACACAAAGCTATTTTTCTGTGCAATCAAGTATGACCAGTATTATTTAGACCAATCATTTAGGAAAAAACTGAGGACTACACAACATTCCGCTTCTTTGCCCATAAGTTTCCCCACTGTGACAGGGAGCCGTCACATGGCCGGTCTAACCGCTGGCCCGCCCACCTGTCTAGGGCAGTCTGCCTACCTGACTCACCTACCACGCCTTTGATGTAACTCATACGTAGTTGTTTAAAGGTGGGGGCTGCCCATTTTACTGCCCGATGCCAAGGGCATAATACATGGCTCCATACTGCCCCCATACCATTGTCCATGCCTTGCAGATGGCATCACTATATGGCTCCAGACCCACACTGGGCCCCACTACATTCCAGCCTGACATGTCAGACCCTGACCTGGATCCTTCCTAGTCAGGCAGCCTAACCTCTGTCGACATGCAAGGCTGCAAACTCCCTAGACCCCATTCCCTCTCGGCAGTGGCCCCCTCGGGGACCTTTGGCCACACAGGCCCTGGCCTCACCTCTAGGCCAGTCAGAACTCCAGGCTCCTGGCTCTGGCCATCCCTTGTGGGCATCTTTGCCTTTGACTGTTCTCATCCTGGCCAGAGGAGGCACAGAGGGCATGTGCCTCCATGCTCCCTTCTCCCAGATTTCTGCACAGGGTGAGGGCAGGCTGCCCACTGTGGGCTCAGGGGCTGTGCCAGCCTCTTCCCAGCAAGAAGGGCAGCTAGAGGAGGGCTACAGTGACTTCTGAGTCTGCTGTAGCCCCCCCACCCCCGTAGCTCCTCCTCCCAGCATCACTGCCACCTGCTCTGGCCCAAGCGCAGCCCCAACCCAGCACCCACACCAGGAAGAAGCTGGCACAGCCCCTGGCCCCAAGCCCACAGTGGGCAGCCCGTCCTCACCTGGCGCACAAATCTGGGGGGTACTTCCCCCCCATACCTCCCCCAGGGGTGCACACAGAAGCAAAGAGACGCCCCCCTTTCCCACCTTCCGGTGTCTCCTGGACAAGCTGCCCATGTCTCCATCCTGCGAACCAGTTGGACAGTGCCTGCCCCTGCCCTAGCCCCACTCCCTCCCTCACCGAGGGGGCCTCAATCTGTCCTTGCACTCTTT